GGTGGCTCCGGGGACCCCGCGACGGGGGGGGGGACGAGGGGTGGGGTGGGGACAGGCACCCATCGCGGGGGCAGGTGTCACCCATGGGGTCACCATGTCCAAGGTCAGGTGCCACCCATGGTGGTGGTCACCATCCCTGGGGCAGATGCTACCCATAGGGATGGGTGCTTGTCCCCATCTCCAAGGTCAGGTGCCAACCATGGTGGTGGTCACCATCCCTGGTGCAATTGCCACCCATGGGGACGGACATCTGTCCCCACCTCCAAGGCCAGGTGCCACCAACAGGGACAGACACCCATTGTGGGTGCAGATGTCACCCATGGTGTCCCCATCTCCAACGTCAGGTGTTACCCATGGTGGTGGCCACCATCCCTTGTGCAGATGCCACCCATGGGGACAGACTTCTGTCCCCATCTCCAAGGTCAGGTGCCACCCATGGTGGTGGCCACCCATCCCTGGCGTGGAGCTGGGTATCGCTGATGTGACGGCCACTGCTGGACCCATTGTCACCACGTGGTCACCAGGTCCTCAGGTGCCCCCCACCTCCCCCCATGGTCTCCAGTGAGGTTCTCCTGATCTTCCCCACCTCCACGCCAAGAGGACCCGTCCCCACGGTGGTGACATCCTTGAGGTCTCCAGGATTTGGGGACATCCGCCGACGGGCCCCCTTCCCCAGCTCCCCCAGGCCTTCAGCTAATTAAGAGGACTAATTAGTCCTAACGAGCTCTCCGTCTCCCAGCAGCCCTTGGAGGACCTTCCACCAGGTCCTGGTGGCCCCACATCCCCACGCGGGGGGGGACCTCAACAAGGCTCCCAATTAGCGCTGCCTCTGCTCCTTGACTGGCATAATTAATGCGCTAATTAATTGGGTCGATAATTAGGGCGGGGTCCGATCAAGCTGCCTCAAGAGTTTGGGAGAAGAAAGTTCCCGGCTGTGCAGGGATTCGGCGGAGAATTAATTATCTCCATTAATTAGCCTTATTAATGAGCCCCATTAATTAGTCTCATTAATTAGCCTTATTAATTATCGCCATTAATTAATCTCATTAATTAATCCCTTTCCCTGGCGCAGGGCAGGGGAGGAGGAACTGGGGTCTGGGGTTTCTCGTTAACGCTAACGAGTCGCTCATTAAGTGGTGGTTCCTCCCCCAAATCCAGTTACCCACCCCCCCCACTTCCCAGTGCTCCCAGTGCTCCCAGTTCCCTTCGCTCCCCCAAATCCAGTTATCCCCCCCCAAATTCC